CGGCCATGCATAGGGGTACATATTTTATATGTCATTTCAAGACCTGATCAAATGGTTCAAACAAGTTTTGACAATGTTCTCCTTCAGATCATCCATGAGTTTATAACCTAGTTTTGCCACTCACTAGACATGAGAGCTTGGACAAATTACTTAGATTTAGTTTTCTTATCTGTAAAATGGGTATAACGCCTCATTCTGTATTTTGAGATTTGAATGACACAATAAATGTAAGGCCATCAGCACACTGTATGCCATGTAGTAGATGCTTAATAAAACTGAAGCTCTTATTTATCATTATGGAGGGAACAAATCTTGAGTCTCTATGGAGAGGCAATGCAAAAAACTAGGGTCGTTCTCTAAGGAATGAGACCAAAGAATTTTGAGCCAAAAATATATTTATACCTTTTACTCAACTATAGTCCAACAATTAAAAGAGGAAGAAAGAAAGGAAGGAAGGGAAGAAAGAAGTAAAGATGGGAATGAGGCAGGAAGGAAAACAGGAGTGAGGGAGAAAGTGGGAGAAGAAAGATTCAACAGTGAAATAGAAGGTTTACAGAGATAGCATGGAGTTAAGTGAGGGATACTAGGACTGGGAAAAGGTATCAGAAATTCTGAAGCATAAAAGGGTCTAAATATATATATATATTACCATAGTGCCAGTATTCAAGTCTATAACAAAATTGTTCTATTTTGGATAAATAGATTATTTTTGCCTCCCCCTTCCTTCACCAATAAGCCACATTTCATATTTGTTCCCCCTTGTTAATATAGTTCCTTATCTCCATGCTTCGCATTGTTAAAGGGACAGCACAGAAGTGAAATTCTGTTTACAATACAGTGAGTAAGACCTTATGACTCTGAAGATACAGACAACATCTCCTGCTCTACCATACTGGCCAGGTGTCCTTGGACAAAGTCACACAACCATTCTGAGACTCCTTTTCTTCTTTTGTCAAGGGAATAAGGACTCTCACATACTAACTTTAAAGCAGGGGTCGGCAACCTTTTGGACCACCGGTTGGCGACTGCTGCTTTAAAGGGTTATTTTGAGAATGCAAGGAGATAATATGCATGAAACACCTTTGTATATTTGATGTACGTGTGAAGGGATGATGATGTGTCCAATCTTTGCATAGATGGATCCACCTTCCTGATGTTATTTGATGGAAGCATATTCTCCATTGTCTCAATGTCCCCCTCCCCCACAGCCCTCTAAAAATCTGACCCAATTCTTCCTCTTTAGTGATTGGGATTCTAACTGAAATTAGAGATTCATTCTTTTGGATAACCAAATTACCATCCTCAGGCATCCTTTTAAAGAAGTCTACAGTCCTAATTACTTATAGAAAATTAGGCTAGACATTGGGTTTCTAGAGAAACCAGAATGAAGAGGCCAGGATGCAGGGGTGATCTATTTGATGGGGAGGAAAAGAGAGTGACATTAAATTTAGCACAGCAATTAGCAGACAGATGGACCAAGGCTCCAGTCCTGGCTCCACCACGTACTGACTAGCTGTGTAACCTTGGGCAAGTGGCTTGATCTCTGCTGGCTTGTGTTTCCTCGTCTATTTATCATTTATAAGTATCGTTGAGTGTCTACTCCATGTCAGTCCCTGTTCTAGGTAATAAGACAGTCATAGTCCTTGTCCTCATGAAGCTTATGCTTTACCAGGGATGATAGAATAAAAACAGAGAAACATAGTAGAATAAGCACCAAGAAAAAGCAGTGAAAGCTACCATAAAAATAACTAAGTAGGATAAAGAGATAGTGAGAGGGGGAAATAGGATAGGCAAGAAAAAAGCTTTGAGGAGGTGACATTTTTTACCTAAATCTTAATGAAGAGATAGTGTGAGCCAAGGGAAAGTCTGAGAGAGGGATATTCAAGGGAAAGGAAATAGCAATGCAGAGTCTTCCTTAAATTTAGGGAGTAATAACGGAGCGCATAAGAAATGGTCAGATATGAGATAGATATTAAAAGTGGAGTTGGCAATAATTATTGCTGGATTAGATGTGGGGATGAGGGAGGGAGAAGAGTCAAAACTGACTCAGTGGGTTGGTTTGAGAACACGGTAGATGAGGAAGATGGGACTTAGTGGAGTGGCCCAAGAGTTCTGTTTTAGACATAATACACTGGTAACATTTTTTAACATTTAGGTAATCTGACAAATGGAGATCCTAACAGGGCCTACTAGTTGGTGTTTGAGATAATCATGGAAAGGGCCTAGTAGAGGATCTGACATGGAGCAATGAACAGAAGTGCAAATTGAGCTGTGGGTTGTCTCTGTACAGTCAAGAGACTAGACAAATGATGACAGAGAGGAGCGAGAACATCAGTAGAAGGGAAACCGGTTTAGGAAGGAGAAGCAAGAGGAAACTGAACACATGGTTTAAATGCTTTACAGTCCTGCATTCAATCCACCCTAGGTGGCACAGAGAAAAATAGAGGGCTGTGTATAAGGGGCTACCAGATCAAATGGTCCATTCTATAATAAGATTGTTTCTTCTTTTCTTCTTGAATTGAGTGACTTGCCAGCACTTTAGGGATCATGAAAACATTGTCTTGACTCAGGGTACAAAAATAATGTGTAGTGGCCACCAAATTTAACCTGACCGGATGCTACAGGTGCAGCCCAGGGACTGTGCTAACTGTGATCAGGGACAACATTCTTCTCACCAAAAGAGAAATGGTTTCTGTTCTTGTAGGATGCAGTAAGTCTATGCTAAAGACTTTATTTATCAACCAGCCATGCCGACTAACAACGTTAGAAGCAATTGTTTATCATCTACTTAGATGAATGTCAAAAGCCACTGCCTTAGTCTCCTAGAAAGTTCGGTTAAAACTGACCTATTTCCTATTGTGCGTTTCTTCTGAGTTTGACAATAGCAGAGCACACCAAAACCAAAACTACAGAAATTTCCATTCCTTTCCCTGACTCCCTTCCCATACCCCTGTGCACAACACACTTATCAGAGCCACACAGCAGCTGTGATGGAAATGAGAACTACAGGAAACTTAGAATTAATCATGCCAAATGGTGACAAATACTCAGGAGAGGGTGATGCTGGTCACTCATGTGACACCACACAGATGGCCCAAGCTACAAACTCTCTCTTACATTCCTGGATCTGGCCCCTAACTAATCTGCTAAAGAACCTTCTGAGTTTGGGGATGTAGGCACTTTGGCCTTGGTTGGCTGATTGAGGTGCATAAATTTGGAAAATAGAGTTGTATGCACACACTTTAGGATTTCCATTGTTTATATTCAGTCATGCACCACATAAAGACTGTTCAGTCAACCACGGACCACATATACGCAACAGTCCCATAAGATTATAACAAAGTTGAAAGATTCCTATCACTCAGTGATGTGATCTCATAGCCATCGTAATGTCCTAGCACAACATATTACTCACATGTTTGTGGTGATGCAGGTGTAAACAAACCCACTGCAATGCCAGTCATATAGAAGTGTAGCATATACAATTGCAGGAGTAGACTATCTAGGTTTGTGTAAGTGCACACTATGATGTACACACAATGACAAAATTGCCTGACGGAGCATTTCTCAGAACATCTCCCCATTGTTAAAAGGCGCATGACTCTATAGCAGTGGTTCTCAACCTTCCTAATGCCGCGACCCTTTAATACAGTTCCTCATGTTGTGGTGACCCCCAACCATAAAATTATTTTCGTTGCTACTTCATAACTGTAATTTTGCTACTGTTATGAATCGTAATGTAAATATCTGATATGCAGGATGTATTTTCATTGTTACAAATTGAACATAATTAAAGCATAGTGATTAATCACAAAGACAATATGTAATTATAAATGTGTTTTCCGATGGTCTTAGGCGACCCCTGTGAAAGGGTCGTTCGACCCCGAAAGGGGTCGCGACCCACAGGTTGGTGACCCACAGGTTGAGAACCGCTGCTCTATAGACATATACACAGACACAAATATTTCCTTTTGGGGTAAATGCTAAAATTTTCTCTATCTCAAACTAACTTTTTGGAGGTGGAGGGGAAGAAAGTAGCAGGAGCTGATAACACCTCCCTAGAGAAGTCGGGGAGCCCAAGACTTAACCAGTCTCCTTTGGGACAGCCACTTGGCCCTCACTATAGACCCCATGAGAAGCTACGATGTAGTGGGAGGTAAAATAAATAATGAAGAGAAAAAAAGTAGAATTCGGTTGAACTAATTTACTTGAGAAAAAAAGTTTTGAATTTAGTCAATAACAGTTGTGTATTTTCTTGTGTTGCACATCAATTATTATGTCTTTCTTCCTTTCCAGAGTCTAACAGTCAAAAGGAGACAATGTCCATATTGTTCAGCCACCCATCTCCAGCACCTAGGATAGTGCCGGGTACATTCTAATCTGATGTGAACTATTTGTTGAACTAATGAAAATGTTTGTGCAAGTAGGCACAGCCTCTGAAAGAGTGCAGTGTTGTACAATTCTAGAGAGGCTAGCCTGAGCTATTTCATGAGATGCCAAGGAAACTCAAATTGAACCCAAGGTCATATGCCTGGTTTAGCAGCTATTAACTCAGGGGATCTGTCTTGACTGGTAACTATGTCACCATGTGAGCACACGGCACACTGCGCCTATTCGGCCCTTCGTAATCTTGGACAAATCTGTTCACAAATCACAGAAGTTTTGGAAAACCATCCTGACCCAGGTGATGGGATAAAAATGCTTCCTATAAAATGATAAAGTATTCTGTCACATCTACCTGATAGTGCAGTGTGACCGATTCCTTTGTTAAGACCAGAACAGTGAGGAGAAAGAAGTGACAAGAAAAATGAGAAAAGAATTCATGATAATGTTCTCACAAACGTGCCTTATGCCATCCACATTAGCCTCCCACATCATTCCTTACTGGAAACTTTTGAACAAGTCAAATGTAGATAGGCGTTTGTTACCTGTGACTATTAAATGAAATTGTCTTTGTTCAAGGCCATAAAATGATCATTTTCTCTTAAATTAACAGCTCGTCGTTATCTGTAATGTAAGAAGAACTTGATAGCATGGATAATCCGAAGCATAATAGCTTGAAAGCTCTGGAATGGGTAGGTTCCTTCTTCAGTAACCAGCCTAATCACTTTTCCTTAGGACACCAAGATGAGGAGAGGAATGTTTTTAGGAAGTCGTGAATTGGCCGGCCTTCCAAAGTCACCTCAGATAATTTACATGACAATGAACCCCACAAATGAATGGTGAAGGGAGGTGGGGGAGAGTGGTCAGGGGGTTACAGACCACATTCCAAATGGGTTTATCCTGGATTCCTATTCAGCTCAAATACCTAGTCATAAAATACTTACTTCAGCTTATAATTTACCCTATGGTCACTTGATCAGTTGAGTGATCTTTATCTTAACAGGGCCTATAATCAATAGTATTTATGACTTTCTCATTATCATCATTAGTGAGCAAGGCACAGGGAGATGGAAGACAAAGTCCTTTTTCTCAAGGAAAAGCAGCCAAAAAGGAACACACTATTTGAATTACAGATTCTGTGTATGCAACATGAAATGCTAAGTTTAGAAGAGTCGTCAACGTAACCTCTGCTAAAAATGAAAGAAAACACTCCATAACTATTTTGAGAGGGAAGGAAGGAGGGAAAGAAAGCAGGAGGGAGGGAGAAAGAGAGAGAGAGAATGAATATGCATTTGCCATATATCCACTATCCAGGGTTCATCCATGAAACACATATGCCTGGCCATCCGGAGAACAGAGCGGCAGCTGTGAAGGTTGGCTTCTGAGTCACCATCACTGAAGTGGAACTATTTGTACAAGTTCAAAGGCACCAAAGACCTTGGCAATCATCTGCCCTAGTGAATGTCAAGACATAGATGACATCACTGTAAACTGGTAAGGCTGAGGAGGATTTCCTATTTGAAACAGGGGAGCTCCGGGGATAAACAAAGCTTTTTCCCTTCTTTTAGACAGTGTCTTCATCCAGGAGTGTCTCTGACCCATGGCTCTTGAAGATACATCATCTATCGGATTTAGCAAACTGTGAGCTCTCCAGAGAGAGACGGTGGTTTCTGTAATAATTGTGAGATGGTAAAACATCTTATAAAAGTGGCAGTTGGCTTTCTTCAGGCAAAGGAGAGAGAGAGACTTCTGTATGAAAACAGACTAAAAAGACTAGGACCCCTTAGCTGCAAAAGTCAAGGCCTTGGGGTACCATGGCGGTAAATCTATAAAAGGCACGGGTCTGGATAGGATAATGTCACACCTACTTAATAGTCCCAGGAAGACATGGTTCATTGTCCCTCATAGAAGCATGAAGCAGCTTTTCCAGGACAGATAAAAAGAAACGAGCTAAATGAAAGCCAGAACTTGAAATCCAAGAAATGATGTAGGATGAAAATATAAAGATACAGAAAAAAGAGTTTTAAAAACTTTTATAGAGTCTTGTTTGAAGGGAAGTTAGAGTAGTCAGCCTTATGTTCGTCACCTGCAAGGGCAAGATCTTGAGCAGAAAAGACATATCCTTTGCTAAAAAACTCGTATTTCTAACAAATATTTGCATGTAGGTCACTGTGCTGGGTACTATTTCCAAAATCACTAGTCTATTCCAGTGGCCGGGCAAACTGCGGCTCGCGAGCCACATGCGGTTCTTCGGCCCCTTGAGTGTGGCTCTTCCTAAGCCTTAGGAGTACCTTAATTAAGTTAATAACAATGTACCTACCTATATAGTTTAAGTTTAAAAAATTTGGCTCTCAAAAGAAATTTCAATCGTTGTACTGTTGATATTTGGCTCTGTTGACTAATGAGTTTGCCGACCACTGGTCTATTCCAATGGAAGAAATTTCTTAATATTCTTATGGAAATTTCATTAGGAGGCTGATCCAATCAGTAATAAAAAGATTAAGATTGCAAAGGCAGCAAGATGGGAGGTAGAGGAGAAGGAAGGGGTAGTATTAAGGATCCATACTGTCCTAATTTATCTGGAAATATTACCTTATTCCTTTTTTTACAAATTGCTTTATGATTATAACCTTACTCTGTGCTTCAGAGCATCTCTATTGAGTTTGACTTCTCACAGTTTAACTGCATTTCTCCAATAAGGAATCAGACCAAGAATAATTAGTTAAGCTCAAGGTCAGGTAATGAATGAGTGGTCAGGTGAGGTCTAGGTCTCCACTCGCCTACTGGCCAACTCTGACTTGAATTCTCCCCTGTGCACAGGGTCTAAGATGGCTGTGCTCTCGACCAGCTCTGCACCTAGTGTGCCATGTTCCAGGGAAGTGCAGTGTCATTTTGATGAACCTATGAGATGCATTGAAGCTGTTAGGAACAGTTGAGAGATCACAGGCAAGATCACCTGTTTTGGCCACTAACTCTTCAATCCTCAGCACTGTGCTCGGCCCTCCCACCCTTTCCTCCTGCCCCACCTCCCACAGTGCATCTCAAAGAACATCCACACATACAAAAGAGAATCACAGAGCCGTATGAAGAAGGCGCAGGCAAGTCCAAAACTCCAGGCTCTGTAACCGTTTTGAACACGCACTTTTGATAGTCTCTCCAGTTTAATTGGAAGAGTGAGATTTAGAACCAAGCAAAGTCAGGTGAACATAGCACTGGAACTCAAAATGAGTATGGTCCTCCTCTCTATTTCTTCTCTTCCTGTCGGTCACTGTCACCTGGTCTATAGGCAGGCCAGCTCTCATCTCAGCTGGCCAGCTCTACCTGAAGTATATGGAAGTCTAACAAAAAACCCAGGTTGAAGCTTCAAATGCAAGTTTACCTTCCCCCAAACCCTCCCTCTTCCTTTCAAATTGAGACATTTGTTTAAATCCAACCCTTCCTTCCAGTGGATAGAGACACTATGGACTCTTATTTAGATTCCAGGAAAGAGACAAGATTGTGGGGACTCATCGATTCTGGAATTTTCTCTCCCACAATTACAGGAGCAGCATCAATATAATTAAGAAATGAATGTGAATGCTATAACAGTATTCACCAAAGAGAAAGAGACCAAGTCCAGATTTAACACCTTAAAGCAGTCCTTTGAACTTAATGGATAGTCTGTAAAAGCAGAATTTTCATAGTATCTCAGAGGTTCATTTGGGACTGACTCAAGAAAATTCCCCCCAACCACCAGCATCCCCTTGCCCACAAATGTCACCTGCTCCCTGCCATCTCAGGCACCCCTGACATTCGTGCCTCCTGGACAGCCACCCCTTCTGTCTGCCCAGGCAGCAGTCTTAACGTGTCACCCTTAATGGACCTGGTTGTCATTTTATAGATGGAAAAAATAGGACAAAAGACAGCACATAAAGAAACAAAGTTCACAGTTTTCCCCAGAGAGCCAATGGGATTCAATTAGGACAACTATTCTCCCTATATCTCTTCCTCCAAGAGAACCAACTCCCAATCTCTTCACGTGTAATTACAGGTTCAGTCATGGGATTGGCGAGCCTTTTTGAATACTTTGCCCAAGGTAGCAATTTTGCAATCCACCGTAGCTGAAGTAAGTATAGACCTCAGCTCGCTCCAGCCTCCTTCTCGCTCCTCCATCCAGCCCCACGTCCCCACTTGGGTGAAAACACTTTGCATATAAACAAACTCCTCTCAAAGACACCTCAACCTTGACATTGCTTTCTCCCTTTTCCAAACTTGCTTCCTTTTAAAACACCTCGCGCTCTGCCATGCTCCCACATGAGGCCCAATTATCAGAATAATAATTAACAGGCCCTCATTATTTCGGATCAAACAATGCCCCCCATAATGAAGCCAAGAATAGCCAATGTGATCCCTTAAAATGGGGCGCGAGTTTCCTTACACCTTGGGGCGTCTAATCCACTGAAACCATTAGGCACCGAGCTGCCCATAACGGCCGGGATAACATTGAGTCAAGGACAGTTAATGGGTGCCAGAGCACAGACCAAAGTGCTCCAAGCATGTCAGTCAAGACTAACCGGAGGCTAAAACATCAAAATGCAGGTTGGAGTTTTGACATTCCTGCAGGCTCTGAACGCCTCGCCAGTAAATTTTTAAAGTCAATATCCCCCTTATGCTCATGAACACTCTTCTGTCTGATGCGTGGGACTAATGTGGATCTGATTGAACTGTGACTAAAGTAGGACTTTAAAGGCAGCTTTGAATGTGTGGGGGGTGGAAAGGTTGTTTTTTTTTTCTCCTGTGTGTGTTTTCTTTCTTTTTTTTTTCTTCTTCCCCAGAAAGGACTGTGATAATAATGAAGACCGTGTACACAGATTATCACAGGCTGTGTCTTTCGACTTCAAGGTTATGTGATTAGAAAATTAGAAAAGCGACAAGATTAGAAAAACCGCAGAACATTTTGAAAGAAAGCTTTTTTACAAATTATCTGTGTGCAGGATTTACACAGAATCTGATAGATGGATCTTCTAATGTTTGGAAATGGATAAATGCAACAATGCAAATAGGAAGAACTGCTTTGGGGCCCATTCCTGGCAGAAGTTCAAAACCCATATTAAGTATTCTAACGCGCTGAATGCCTGTTACTTCTATGTGTTTTTTAAATTGCCATGTACATACATAACACAAAATACGACCATTTTGTAAATAAAAGCTAAAAATAACAATGAGATTGTTGTTTCTCGAGATGCATGACTTTCCCCAGAATTGGAATAAAACCTTCACCTCCCTACCCTTTCTCTTCTCAACACCAGGACACGGATCAGGAAGCCCAGGCAGAACCGGGTATGGGTGGTGGTCACCATCCTGCGGGTGGTAGCTCAAGGGGTGATAGCCATTTTGAAACTCAAGTTACAGCTTCATTCCTCCGTAAATAAGGGGGACAATGACATTTTCCCGTAGCCAAACCCAGGCTGGTCTAAATAAAAACACCATTTAAAAACCCACTCCTTTTGCTTTGCTTGTCTGATGACACGGGTGTATTTCTGAAATGTAGAAGCAGGTGTCTCTGTAAGTAAAGGTGGGGGAGAGGCTAACCTGTCTGAGGGACCCTCCTCAGAGTCCTTTCAACACCTAGAACAGTGGTTCTCAACCTTCCTAATGCCGCGACCCTTTAATACAGTTCCTCATGTTGTGGTGACCCCCAATTTCATTGTTACAAATTGAACATAATTAAAGCGTAGTGATTACTCACAAAAACAATATGTAATTATATATGTGTTTTCCGATGGTCTTAGGCGACCCCTGTGAAAGGGTTGTTCGACCTAGAAGATGACAAATGATTGTTGTGCTTGGAGAATAGATCCTGAAGCCTCTGAAGTGTCCATGACCATACATAAAGGCATAAATGACAGTCATGTCATGATGACCTTTAACCTATTTAATGGAAACCTGTAAGTTAGCATCCTGAAATTCTTAGCATCACTGGCACCTGATTTTGACCTCCCAGATATTTAAATATAAATAGGCCACCGATGCACTCCTGGATCGAACTTGGATCTTCCAGAGCTCTCTGCTGGTGATGTCAGCGAGGTTTGGGTATGAAGGGCATCATAGTTAAAGCACACAAGTTGTCCTTGGTACCTGATGTTTTGATTTTTTAAAATCTATTACTTAGAACATGATCTAAAATTTTGAAGTTATTTTGATATTCAAGTCAATATACTAGTATGTATATTCACACATGTATGCATGTATGTATATAGACACCGTGTAGTAGTACTTTAAATGTATCTATCTACCTATCTATCTAAAATAAACTCTCAAATAATGCATCCCACAAGTTTTCTGTCTTTGTGGGTATTCACAGAAGCACCTCCATAAAACTTGGAACTGTGTTTCAATCATTCACTCAACCAATATTAATTAAGCACCTATTATGTCACAAGAATGATTTTAAATGCTTGGGATATATCAGTGAACGAAACAGACTAAGATCCTAGACCTTATGAAGCTTACATTCTCGTGGAGGAGACAGACAACAGAAATAACAAAGCTAATTGCATCATATGCTAGAAGATGGTAAGTGCTCTGGAAAATATACTAGGAGAGAGTAAGAGGAATCAGAGATGCCCAGAGGAGATGGGGGACAGACAGGCTGTCCTGAGACAGTCACAGGGAGCAAAGCCAGGCAGGAGGCATCTAAGTTAGCCACGCAGATACATGGGAGAGGAGCCTCTGGGAAGCAGAACAGCCAAGAAAATATCTGTGGATATCTGGAGTGTTTTCAGAGTAGAAAGGAGGCCAGGCCCAGCTGGCATGGCTCAGTGGTTGAGCGTCGACCTATGAATCAGAAGGTCACAGTTCAATTGCCGATCAGGGCGCATGCCTAGGTTTTGGGCTCCATAGTACTTTCTTATTACATTCTTTGGAATGTAATAAGTAGTCCCTGAAGATATTCCAGGAGAAAGGGGTTCCAAAGTCAAATAAGTCCTCATTTAGCAGATTCACAAATCACAACCCATGTGTGAAAGTCTCAGAGAAATTCCCCAGGAAATGACATGTTTTACCTGAGCATTTTGAGAATTTATTCAAGCACACAGCCCATTTCTTTTTCCCACTCCCGCATACTTTTGCTACACTTCAGACAGCATATTCTATAGAACATACATTGAGAAAAGATGACCCGTATGAGTCAGCAACTAGTGGCCTCCAGAATGACAACCCCCCCACCACAACCCCCAACCCTGCCATTTCTGGACCACTCTGAATTCAGGTCATCTCCATTGGGTGGAATAAAATCCACTGCCTTGTAATTTCTGCCTACAGACCCTAGTTTTACCCTTGGGACCATATAGAATACTCCTGGGCTGGGAAGGACTGCAGGATTTTTAATCATATAGAATTCAGTCTGGCCTTGCCACTTAATTACTAGCTGGGCAATTACCAAGACTCTGAATTTTAGTTTCCTTGTCTAAATGATCTGCCTTGTAAGGTCCTCCAATTAAGACTTGCCTCTCCAAAAGCCCTGGTCCAGATGGTTTCACAGGGGAATTTCACCAAACATTCAATGAAGAACTAGCACCTATCCTCCTCAAACTATTGCAAAAAGTTCAAGAGGAAGGAACACTTCCAAGGTCTTTCTATGAGGCCAGCATTACCCTAATTCCAAAATCAGATAAAGACACTACAAAGAAAGAGAATTACAGGCCAATATCCCTAATGAACATAGATGCTAAAATCCTCAAAATATTAGCAAATCGGATTCCGCAATACATTAAACAGATCATACACCATGACCAAGTAGGATTTATTCCAGGGATGCAAGACTGGTACAATACTCACAAATCAATAAATGAGATACATCACATAAACAGATTACTAGACAAAAATCACATGATCTTATCAATTGATGCAGAAAAAGCATTCGACAAAATCCAACACCCTTTTTTGATAAAAACTCTCAGCAAGGTGGTAACAAAGGGATAATAAAAGCCATATATGACAAACCTACAGCCAACATCATACTCAGTGGGCAAAAACTAAAACCATTTCCCCTAAGAACAGGAACAAGACAGGGACGCCCGCTTTCACCACTCCTGTTCTACTTAGTACTGGAAGTGCTAGCCAAGAAGAAGATATAAAAGGCATCCAAATTGGAAAGGAGGAAGGAAAACTCTCATTATTCACAGATGACATGATATTGTACATAGAAAACTCTAAACACTCCATCAAAACACTACTAAGTTTAATAAACGAATTCAGCAACATAGTAGGATACAAAATTAACACCCAGAAATCTATGGCATTTTTATACTCCGATAATGAAATCTCAGGAAGAGAAACTAAAAAACAATCCCATTTACCATTGCAACAAAAAAAGTAAGATACTTAGGAATAAACTTAAATAAGGAGGTAAAAGAGATAGAGGAAGATATAAACAAATGGAAGAATATACAGTATTCATGGATTGGTAGAATCAACATCATTAAAGTGTCCATACTACCCAAATCAATCTATAGATTCAATGCAGTCCCTATTAAAATACTAACAGCATATTTCATAGATCTAGAACAAACACTCCAAAAATGTATATGGAACCAACCAGCCACCAAACAAACAAACAAACAAAAAAAACCCCAAATAGTCACAGCAATCTTGAGGAAGAAAAACAAAGTTGGAGGAATCACAATACCAGATATCAAGTTATATTACAAGAACAGGCATGTAGATCAATAGAACAGAACAGAGAGCCCAGAAATTGACCCAAGCCATTATGCTCATTTAATATTTGACAAAGGAGGCAAGAGCATGCAATGGAGCAAGGACAGTCTCTTCAATAAATGGTGTTGGGAAAATTGGACAGGTACATGCAAAAAAATGAAACTATACCACCAGCTTACACCATACCCAAGAATAAACTCAAAATGGATAAAAGACTAAATGTAAGATCCAAAACCATAAAAATCTTAGAAGAAACCATAGGCAGCCAAATCTTACTATGTGTGCCAATACATCTCCTAGGACAAAGGAAACAAAAGGGAAAATAAACAAATGGGACTACATCAAAATAAAAAGCTTCTGCAGAGAAAAACCATCAACAAAAAGACAAAGGGGCCCACTACATGGGAGAACATATTTGCCAATGATACATCCAACAAGGGGGTAATTTCCAAAACACACAGGGAACTCACACAACTTAGCAAAAGGAAGACAATCCAATAAAAAAATGGGCAAAGGACCTAAATAGACACTTCTCCAAAGTGGACATATGGAAGGCCCAGAGACATATGAAAAAATGTTCAAAGTCACTAATCATCCAAGAGATGCAAATCAAAATGACAATGAGGTATCACCTCACACCTGTCATAATGGCTATCATCAACAAATCAACAAAGGACAAGTGCTGGTGAGGATGTGGAGAAAAGGGAACTCTTGTGCACTGCTGGTGGGAATGCAGACTGGTGCAGCCACTGTGGAAGACAGTATGGAGTTTCCTCAAAAAAATTAAAAATGGAACTCCCATTTGACCCAGTAATTCCACTTCTAGGAATATATCCCAAGAAACCAGAAACACCAATCAGAAAGGATATATGCACCCCTATTTTCATAGCAGCGCAATTACAATAGCTAAGATTTGGAAATCTGCCCATCAGCAGATTCCATTGTGGTACATCAACACAATGGAATACTATGCTGCTGTAAAAAAGAAAGAACTCTTACTATTTGCAACAGCATGAATAGACATGGAGAGCATTATGCTAAATGAAATAAGCCAGTAGGAGAAAGATAAATATCACATGATCTCACTCATTTGTAGAATCTAATGAACAACATAAACTGATGAACAAAAATAGATCCAGAGACAGAAAAGCATCGAACAGACTGTCAAACCTCAGAGGGAAGAGAAGGGAGGCTAGGGGAAGAAATTAACCAAAGAACTTGTATGCATATATGCATAACCCATGGATACAGATAATAGTGTGATGAAGGCCTAGGGCAGGGGAGTAGGGGTGGGCCAGGAGAAGTCAATGGTGGGAAAGAGGGGACATATGTAATACTTTCAACAATAAAGATGAAAAAAAAAGATTTGTCTCTCCAGCGCTTCCACATAAGTGTTTTCCCTATCCCCTTAAACACCTGTCCATAATCCTGGAATGGGGAGTTCAGGCTTTATTTATTTCCTGTTCTCCTGGGTGGCACCATTCTTAATAAAATAACCAAGCTTTCTCTACTGCAAT